AGGTAGACAATCGATGGTTTTGTGGTTTCAAGGGACTGTAGGGTCAATGTACATGCAATTGGTTTTTGCAGGAATGGATTTAGGACACGAGAAGATGGTAATGTCCTTAAATGAAAAGAATAAAAATGTGCACTGGGAGAAGTTTCTGGATTTTTTCTAGTATATTCGGACCAAAATCGATCTGAAAAATGAAAAGCATGGAAGCTTTTGGATTCTTTGCATATATTCAGACCAAAACCGGTCCGTATATATATTCATACTTAATTTAATTTAGCTTTAGGATTAAAAATCCCTTGGAGTGCCTATATTCGGACCGATGACGGTCCGTATATACCTATACGGATCGATATCAATCCGTATATGCCCTAAACAGCAGCTTTTTATTTTTATTTTTTGTTATTTCGTGTTTAAGTCGTTCTACTCTCGTTTTAAACCGTAACATTCCGAATGTTTGCAAGCCAAAGTGATTAACCTTAAGAAAAAAAATGAATTTTATTTGCTTGTGACTTCGAAAGAGCATTACGTAACATTATCTCTAATAACCTGAAACTTGTACATTCGTGGTTTTGTAATGATATTATTCCGTACCATTATAAGATAATTTTAAGTAGATAATCGATGCTTTCGTGGGTCGATGTACATGCAATTAGTTTTCGCAAAAATGGATTGAGGACACGAGAAAATGGTGATGCCCTTAAATGAAAAGAATAAAAATGTGCCATGTGGATTTTTTTCCCAACATATTCGGACCAAAATTGGTTCGAATATGTTAATGTGATCCCTTATAGGCTTAATACATATATGGACCGAAATCGGTCCGTAATTAATTTATGCGCCAAATTTTTACCATAAATTTGAATCTTTTTGATTGTGCGCTAATTTATTTATATTCAGACCAATTTTGATTCAAATATTATTAATGCGCCAAAAATTTTCCCGAAAAAATTGAAATTTTTTGGTGAGGCGCACCAATAAAGATTATACGGACCGATAACGGTTCGTATAAGCCTTATATATATCACCACTTCTCTCCCTTTTCCTCATTTTCTCTTCTTCCTCTCTTTCTTTTCCTTTCTTCCTCTCTTTCT